TTTCCCTATGTAGAAAACAAAGGAACATAGTTCCAATTACAAATTATTATTTCTGGTATGTATATTCTCTATTCTCTATAGTGCCAGTATACTAGTAAAGTAACACACATGACAGATAACAAGCCTGTCTGGTCTGAGCCAGAACACCTTTGATGATACATTACTCAAATCAGAGCATTTTGAGCTAGCCCACAAATGGAGAACCTTTGCAGTTCAGTCCTTTCCTCATGACCTCGCTGCCTACAATTTTGTGTGATTAGCATTCCTTGTCTTCTAACATTTTCAATACAACATGTTACTATCAGAATAACGTCCATCTGTGCATGCTTTTTACTGCTGATTTTCTTTCTTTATCCTGAAAGGGGTTTTAAGAAGAGGGATTGTTTACATTTGCTGGATTAGATTATTGTAAAAATGGACCATTTCGCTATCATTAGTATTGATCTCCCTTCTGCTTCTGAGCCAATGAGGTGAAATAAAGACACAAAATGTCTAAACTGGAATTTGGGCCCAGATGAGACTTCTGAGCCCATACTTGGATGAGGAAAAAAAAACAAACCACAAAAAACCAAATTATCAGCATTCACATTTTGTGTGGAATTTCAAAGACAGCTATCAAAAATAACACTGTTACAAACAGAAAAGTAAAGGTTGGATTGTGACCAATGACCACTGAACACCAAAACACATGCAACCACCTCCTCTTCCTCAAACCATTGGGCTTCCTGTGCTACCTGAGCAGTTGTGGCAACCCTCTGCAGCCATTCAATGACGTTGTCACTGTTTTTCAACATAATTATGCTCACATTGTGTTTGTAAGTCCAATTGTTTCATCATTCTACTCCTACCCGTCCTGGCCCTAGAAACAGGCTATTTTGGGAAGGAAAACAGACGAGGGGATCCACATGCCAATTCATTCTCACTCTCATTAATTCTTGGCTGCATCCTGCTTTTTATATTCCAGTCTATACAGAATTCAATTAGTTTCTACTAACAGACGTTTCTAAATAATTTGTTTCACTGGCATTTCATAAGTGCTGGCCATGTCTGCTTGTCATCTCTCAGCCCTAAATGATGCTTTACCCTTTCAGCATCCCACTTAGGGCTTACATCTCAAGAAACTCCACTACCACTGAGCTGAACACTGCAGCACTCAGCTTTTAGCCTTCTCTCCTGGAAGAAAGGAGACCCCTCAGTTTGACTTGACTGATGTCTTTAGCACATGGAGAGACCAAGGCACCTCAGTTCCAGCAGGGAACCTTGCAAATAAGGCTCATCTCAGTCCACTTTTCAGTACTACAGCTCAAAAAGAGATCTGAATAATTGAAATTATGGAAGTCTAGCAAACAGAACAGGTGAAAAAGAGAGCAATAAGCAGAGTTCCTCAATCTAGTGGAGATAAAAGACCGAGGGGATTAACTTCCAGTACTATTACATACCAGGAAGCTGCAAAGAAAGCAGTGAAAAGCATTGTATTATCTCTCCTCAGAGCTTCAGTCCTCAGTAACAAACCTGAGTTGCAGCAAAGAAGATGAGGAAAAATACCACTAGAGATAGTAAAGCACTAAAAATAACTGCTTGGGACAGCCAGGAGATCTCCACAAGTATTGCTTTTCAGGTCAGACAAACAGCTCTAAGGAATAGCTCTGGCGTAGCTTTTAAGGTTGAGGCCAGCAAGATCAAACATGCTCTACTGAGATCCCTTCCCATCGTATTTTCTAGGATTTTCCAGCCAAGAAGGAGACACAGAAGGACTTTGTTATTCGTAAGCCATCAGACTCAAGGACACCACTTTCTTTTACCTTAATTTTACAGTCTAAGTATGTTATTTCAACACAGAAAAGACCTTCACAAGATCCCAGAGCTCACTGATGGACTGAGACACCAAAAGAAACCACACACACTCAGATACTTCCATCACACAAAGACTTAATACTTCACCTCAAAATAAGTCATTTAACACACAGCATACATGCAAAAAGCATTCCCCCATTTGATGAAGTTCTTAAATGAAGGAACTTTAATGTATTTGATACATACCGTTTTACAAACAAGCATTTTGAATAAGGCTTAATTTTCTTTACCAACCTTTTACTTCACTGTTTTCTGTTGCTACATTGCTGCCTTGCAGCAATCCTACAGATACCTGAGACGAAGCTTCTACTTTGGTGCAAACAGCAAAAAATCAAGCCTTAAATTACCTTCCACCCCAACCCATCAATTTCTGATGCACTTCAGACATCCCACTCAATTTAAAGCCAATCCAGGGTACAGGCCTGGAAGATGCTGACTCTCTGCTGCTCTCAATTAAACAGACAGTAGTCAGAGAACTACACTGTATCCAAAGATCATGTTTTGTAATAGCTTTGAGGAAAGGAAGCAGTTTCTATACTTTTTGATTGACCAAATGAGAACATCTGGTTACCTCTTTACTTTTTACATACTCTGATATTGGTTTTATTCCCTTGAAGAGAGGGTTCACTGTATCAAAACTACTTATCACCATTTAAAAAACATTTAAGAAAATCATCACAGTAAGGGTAGAATTTCATTTGCTACATAACACGTTAATGTTTTTTTATGACTGTTCTACTAGAGAAGGCCATTTGATCCTGCCCCACAATCCTGTAACCAACCCCCTTTTACATGCATAAATCACCCATTGCAACCCTAAAGTCTACTTCTTACCTGCTAGATACTTTCAGAATCAGGTAACCTCCTTTCTTAATCACTTTCCCTTCAAGGCATCATCACATTCAAATAGCACCATTCATTTTTCAGAGCGGAGACTTACATTAGCTAAAGCAATGGCTAGCAAGTGAGGAGTCTAATGTACAGCCTGAATATAAGACTGAAATGCAGCTGGAGAACGGACAATTAAGCAAGATGTCTACAGCTCAATTACTAACATTGGCATCCCTCAAAATTACTTGCAGGAGAACACGCAGACCAATTAATATCCAAATACAACATGTAAAGACAGATACTGTGATCAGAAATGAAGGTATTACAAGCAACTGGATTATCTGTGCGCTCTTAAGGATAAAATAACCATTTAACAGCACTGAACAGATACACAGTAGAAGATACACAATTCCTTGCAAGTCCTAACACAACACATTTGTGTAAAAGGGAGCTTCAGATTACATTTGGATAGTTGAACAGCTAGCCCACTACTTTCAAGTGCTGTCTGGTCACTGGTACATAGCAAAACCTTTTCTACCTTCCATTCAGTCCTGCATGTGGAAACCAACAAAATTAACCCAGAGTGGAGTCTAACTGCACAGCCAGGCAAGGCTGGCTCCAAGAAGGCGTGGAGCTATGGACAGACACTGGAAGAGCCTTTCAGAGTGACAGAAACACTAGCTGTACCTCAGAGCTATGCCTACCCTTCCGACTATATGGACCTACAGGAGCACATCTACAGAGCAAAACAGTTCAAGCACTGAGGAACCAACATCTGCAGTGCAGAGGGTCTTACTTCAGACTAGGTTTGGGGCAGTCCCCATAGACTGAAGGCCAGGTAGTAGCCGGAGCCCCTCTGGTACACATCTAGAGCACACATTCAGACTTCTGTTCCACCTGAAAGAAAGCCAGTCCACACGCTTCAAGACTGCTCTACAATGCAAAGCAAAGCACAGTAAATAGGATAACTGGGAGATTCCTTCAAAAGCTTGCACACCTAATCTGAACTGAAATGCTATTTGAGCCAGGATCCTTGGAATACTTCCAGCAGTCAGTAGAAAAAGTAGCTCCTGGAAAGGCCAGTAAGCAGAGGCCAAGCTTTCCAGACAAGGCTATAATCTCCTGGGAACCACTTAATTTTTTTACCCACCACTTAATTATTTCCATTCCTACCAAAAAGGCACCTTTGTGAAATTCAGCTCTCCAGCTGTGCTCCTGAACTATCAAGACGACCTTGAGGAACAGCTGAGCAAACCAAACTCCTGGCTGCTGAACACCCTTTGGAGTAGGAAGCAACTGCTACAGTTTTCACTTCAAAGCACGAGGGCCAAAGTCTGTATAGCATGCTACAAGCATAATTCTTTGTTTTGTGTGTATTCTTCAACTATTTGGCACTCTTAATACAGGTGACAAACCCTTCTAATTCCCACTTTACCCTTCCAAGATGCTAGATAGCTGTTTGCCTTCAATTTGGGTGCTATTTAAAGTTAAATGACTAATAACCTTAAGAGTACAAGAAAATAGGTCTCCTGTATTCCCAGCCTGGCTTGAGACATCAGAGTAGCCAAAACACACAGCGATGACCTGACATCACATTTGATGCCACAACTTTCCCCTGCTGCAGGCAGTATCAAC